TTCTCTCTCTCTCTTCCCTACCCTGCTTAACATCTAGCCAGATTAAGAGTTGTGGAGAACTCAAAAGCTTTGCAAACTATTTCTTAAAAGCTGGCACACGGTTTTGCGGCATTTCGGTTGCTCCTGATAAAGCTATTGCCTGATGGTGGGTTTTGAAATTTTTGCTCACAAGGCATCCTATGTTATAATCCATCTTCAAACAGACCATTTGGAAATTGAAACCAGTAGTTTCTGATCCTAGCAGCCAATGCCAGGTTTTCACTAAGACCTTGTGAACTGTTCAAGAATTATAGAGGTCACCGTTTTGTGTGTGTTTGGGCTGTTGGACTAAATTAGCTTGCAATGGTGGCCTGGTGGGTGGTGGGAAGCACATTTCTTTCTGTTTTATTGGGCTGTCATAGCAAAATGTGATCTTGCAACCACTGAGGTTCAATATCAAGCAGCTGGGTTAAATTCTCTCAGCAGAAAGAGTTCTTCTGCCTTGGCACTTGTGCTTAAAAACTGTGTATTTAAGTGTAGCCAGTTAATAATTTTTAGATATGTGGTCTGAAGTATTTGTATATATAGATAGACCACTTACGTTCTCCATGTGATCCTTCTTGTTTGCTAGATTACATGGCGAGACATCAGAAGTTGCACACAGATTCAGCCCAGAACGTGCACTTGCTACTTCTGTGATCATGGCATACGATTGTGGGAATGTCCATCACCCAGAATTGTTTCAAGCGCATAGTTAGGAGGAGCATTTGATTACACAAATTGGGGGGCCCTCATCTTAAGCAATTTCCAGTTCAAAGAGAGGTACTATCTCTTTATGTTATTAGCCTGAACTAAGGAGCAAGTCACATGTGGCTTGCCTCTGAGTGCAATATTTTTTCTTTCGCAAACAGCTGGTGCAGTCTTCCACATGCAGCTATCTCTTCTAAAGCCAGCGATACATTGTGTGCAGAATACATGCGTGCAATTAGCAGTGAATCAGACTGGCAAGTAGATCGCATTAACAACAACATATGGCATTTGTGTTGTTGGCGGGAAACACCCTACATCTCGGGGGTTTGTAGCTTGAAATAAACTCAAGTAGTTACTGTAAGGCACCTAATTAGGCAGATCTCAGGAAATGTGTGAGGTGCCAGAATTGTGCCTTGTGGGAGAAGGGATAAATAGTGTCCAGAATTAGTGAACTTGAGAGCTATAAAGGCTTTAAATAGACTTCTGAGAAGGGAGACATCACTCAGTTAAATGAGAAATTTAATTTCAGGCAGCAGAGAAGGGCCTTCATTTACGTGTACAGCATTACTGTGGAAAAATCATCTCTTGGAGTATCTCCTGACTTTCAGACCTGGTTTATTTGGCTATTGAGCTAGTAGAATTACCACATGCTTTACATGCTGTTTTCATGAGCAACGTCACATGCCAAGGAGATTCCTTCCATACTTGAAGAGGGAGTGCAGTATCTGAATAGAAAGTAAGTCTTTGCTTGGAGGCGGGACGGGCGGGGGCAGTGGTAGAAGGTGAGGTGAAAATCCTGTTTTATGTCTGGAGGCTGTTTTATCTGTTCTAGCTAGTACTTCATGCCCCCACAATGCAAGGATAGTGCTCTGTTTTCAGCTATAGGCTTTCAGGCAAGGAATGCAATCTCATGTGTGCAAGTGGTGGTGAGGAGCTGTATGGTGAGAATTCCCACGTTCAGCTTCTGGGCGTGAGATCATCACATGGGCCTAGATGGATATGGGCCACTTGATGTGCATCCTATAGGAGAGTGCAGACCCTCCAAGTTTCCCTATTTTCCAGGGACAGTCCCGGATTTACAGAATCCATTCTGCTTTGATCCTGGAATGTCCTGCTTTTCCTTAGGACATCCCTAAGGATTCATCAGAGAAATATTGGAGGGTATGGAATAGGACATCCCCAGGGGGTTTTTTTCCAGCCAGAACTCACTGGAACTCAATTCCGGCACCTCTCAGGCAAGTGCCATTGCCATTCTAAAAGAAAGAGAAAGGTGTTCATGGTACGTTCTGGCACCTCTTTTTCCAGAAAAAATAGCACTGGACTCCCCTATTTTAATTGGAGAAATGTCGGCGGGTATGAGAGTGCCTTTCATGTAATTGGTTTCTGTGACTACTGAAGTATCTCCGAGCATAAGGATGTGGGTGGTGCTGTTGTCTAAACCACTGAGCCTCTTGGGCTTGCCAATCAGAAGGTTGGCAGTTCAAATCCCTGTGATGGGGTGTGCTCCCGTTGCTCTGTCCCAGCTCCTGCCAACCTAGCAGTTCGAAAGCACACCAGTGCAAGTAGATAAATAGGTACCGCTGCGGTGGGAAGGTAAATGGCATTTCCGTGTGCTCTGGTTTCCATCACAGTGTCCCATTGTGCCAGAAGCGATTTAGTCATGCTGGCCATATGACATAGAAAAGCTGTCTGTGGACAAACACCAGCTTCCTCAGCCTGAAAGTGAGATGAGCACCACACCCCATAGTCGCCTTCAACTGGACTTAATCATCCAGGGGTCCTTTACCTTTTACCTATCTCTGAGCATACTCACAACAAAATCCCGAGCAATTTAATAGTACTTACTCTTTAGAAAGTGAGTTTAAGACCACAGTGTCAGTATCAGTATATTTCTTAGGATACATCCGCACGATGCTCACTTTCCAACTGAATTCAGTAAGACTGGCTTTTGAGTAAACATTCCTTCACTGGGCTACACTGTTAATGTGGCCTACTAGCTATCCCATCTTCCTAAAGAACTCTGGAAATGTTGTTTCTTTACTTAGTCAGAACCTGGGGCCTTTAACAGAGAATTATCGGCACCCTCATAAAGCTACTATTCCAAAGAATCAATGGGGAAGCCACAATAACTAAAGCAAACTAATGTTAAGTCTGTGGTACGTAGATATGCAACTTAGAATATGAAATAAACTCCATCCTTGTTACTGCAGTTTTTTAAAAGCAAAACTCCATCATGTATACCATAAATGGTGTGCAGGTATTTGCTATAATTTGCACTTTCCTTGAAAAACCTTGTAATTAAGATAGAGTAGGAAAGATAATATGTTACAACTTTGCAACAGAAATCATAGGCCTGTCAATAGGTAACAAGGAAAATAAATAGCTGATTATTTGACTCTTTTTATTACTTTCCCCAAATACTTGAGAAGCAATAGCAAAACTGAGAATCCAGGGAACTTGGTATTTAGACAAAGGCCAACAAAATAGACAAACAGGAAGGAATGTAAACTAATCTACTTTTTCCTGTCTTTAATCTGTTTGTTCAAAGATTCCTTACAGCAGTTTCCTACTCCATACAGACACTAGCACATATAATTCAATAAGAAAATGCATGGTGGGGATGAAATGTCAGTTTGGAAAACCCAGCAATTTACTTGGTGGTGGTGTTGCTTCTTAACCAAGTAAGATGGTTGCATTTAAGTATAAATACATGTTATAAAGTTCCATGAAGGTGCATTTTTAAAGGCTCTTGGATGAAAGGGGCTGATTTATTGAAATATGACAGCAACTCGTTCAGTGCAATGTGGGCCTGCTATAGAAATCTGTGAGGCAAGTTCTCTCCCCAAATACGTTAAGATCACTTACTCTGGGTCATGACTTCATTGCTTGCATTTCCTCAGCCCCCACAAATTGGAGCCAGTGATCTGCAGGAGGTGAGCTGGGAAACTCATAGCGTGGTGAACTGTGATGCAGCTCAAGCAATCCTACACATTCTGGAAGAGCAGAGGAGAACGTAACCTAAGGATGCTGTGTTTGGCAGCAAGACTCACATCAGAGTGTATCATGTAGTTTCCCCTTAAGAAACTTGCTTTTGGAGTTTTTATAAGAGCAGCCCCACATATATCACAGTGCAGGAATCTTGGCTTTAGCAGTCGAGATGTGAATCACAATGTAATGTAGGCTGGAAAGCAAACCTCAGTTCTTGAAACCCATCTCCCTAAACTGGGACAGGGCAGGAGGAAGCATAGACTTCCTCGTGGGAACCAGTAAGCATTCCATTGTCTTCTGCAATTCTTCACTTGTTTCGTGAAGTACAGTGTCCAGTTCTGTTCAGCATCATAGACAAATTTCAAGGGGTTCAGCAGATGCTGTCAGGATTTTGTAGCTCTGAATTTCCTGCATCAAGCATGTGGCTGGACTGGGCTGCCTAGAAGGCTTCCTCCAACTCCATGGTTTTATATCAGTGTTTCCCAAACTTGGGTCTCCAGCTGTTTTTGGACTACAGTTCCCATCATTCCTGACCGCTGGTCCTGCTAGCTAAGGATGATGGGAGTTGTAGTCCAAAAACAGCTGGAGACCCAAGTTTGGGAAACACTGTTTTATATTATTCAGACTCATCCTCTTTTATCATTTCTTTACCAACCCTTGATATCCAAACTGGTTCTTGGCCATGGATCAAATGTAGCCCAAGGTTAAATGCTGATATGCTAAACACGATGAGACCCCCCTCCTTCTTGTAAAGGAATGTGTATGCTATTGGCACTCTTGTTTTGAACACGATGGCCTTGCCCCGGCTCCGAGATTGAATTTTGGGATCAGCTCAACCCAGGAATCTTGAGGAGGTGGAGAAGGAAATCTAGAGATTCTCATTCCACTTGTGGGGACTGCTGATAACCATGCCTGACTTTTGTCACGCTATTCTATAACTGAGCAGAGTCCTGCTGGGAAGGAAATCTCTTTGGAAAGGAAGGAAGAGGAGCAATGTACAAACAAATCAGAGCTTTCTAAGTATAGCAGCAAGTAACATAGGGCCATCCCATGATGTAGTCACTGCACCATCATTTTTATACTTTCAAAAAAAGGGGGGATCAAGGCATACCTCAGCTTCTGAAAATCAGCTTATTGGCATTTCTGGAATTCAGACACTACCAGTCCTTAATAACCATCTTGAATCTGTGTCATTTGTCACTTGGAAAAGCAAATTTTTCAACCAAGGGAACTGTATACAGCATCCTCAACAATCTTCACAGTGCACATTGGCCAGGGTAAGGGCTGTAGCCCAGTGGTTTGAGCACCTGCTTTGCATGCAGAAGCTCCTAGGTTCAATCCCCATCATCTCCAGGTATGGCTGAGAGAGACCCCTATCTGAAACCCTGGAAAACCACTGTCCATCAGTATGCACCATATTGAGATAGATGGACCATGATTCAGTATCATGCAGCTTCCTGTGTTCATATGGGTAGTGGGAGGAAGATCACAGAACACGGGGAAAGGAGTGAATTGTATTCCGAGGAAATATTTCCTCCAAACTCCCTCAGTTGCTGGTTTTATGGACCCACCTTGCAGGAAGCAAGTCTGTAAGCCTGCAAGGGTAAAAACCGCTGTGTGGAAGTTTCAAGAGACATAGGAAGCTGCCAGTGGTGAGCAGTTAGTTAGACTAGGGGGCTAGGCTAGACCCCTAAATGGTCCTGGTAAATTAGACTACAGTGGTACCTCGGGTTACAGACGCTTCAGGTTACAGACGCTTCAGGTTACAGACTCCACTAACCCAGAAATAGTACCTCGGGTTAAGAACTTTGCTTCGGGATGAGAACAGAAATCGTGTGGAGGCGGCGCAGCAGCAGCGGGAAGCCCCATTAGCTAAAGTGGTACCTCATGTTAAGAACAGTTTCAGGTTAAGAACGGACCTCCAGAACGAATTAAGTTCTTAACCTGAGGTAAAGGTAAAGGGACCCCTGACCATTAGGTCCAGTCGTGACCGACTCTGGGGTTGCGGCGCTGATCTCGCTTTATTGGCCGAGGGAGCCGGCGTACAGCTTCTGGGTCATGTGGCCAGAATGACAAAGCCGCTTCTGGCCAACCAGAGCAGTGCATGGAAACGCCGTTTAACTTCCCGCCGGAGCGGTACCTATTTATCTACTTGCACTTTGACGTGCTTTTAAACTGCTAGGTTGGCAGGAGCAGGGACCGAGCAACGGGAGCTCACCCCGTTGCGGGGATTTGAACCGCCGACCTTCTGATCAGCAAGTCCTAGGCTCTGTGGTTTAACCCACAGCGAGGTACCACTGTATTAAAGTATTAAAGCCTCCTGCCTCCTTCCCCAAGCCTGGGAAGCTTCTGCCTGGCTTAGGGAGGGAGGCATGATGCTCTGAAAGGTCCAAGAGCCCTTCCCCCACCTTCCCAAAGCCTTCCCTGAAGAATGGCTCCAGCATCCTCTCAGAGGTCTGGTGCCTCATTCCCAAAGCCCAGGAAACTTCTGCCCAGCTTAGGGAGGCAGACGGGATGTTCACATACACAACATTGGACACACACCCCATCGCCCTCACAAGCTGGCACCTCTGGCCCTAACTGTTCCCCTCCGAAAAATTTCACTCCACGCATTATTAGGCCATCTATCAAGCTCAGTATTGTCACAGACTGGCAACGAGTCAAACGGAGTCTTCCCAAGCGGAATCTGCCAATTCCAGGGACCTTTTTGCATTTGAAGCATGTGCTCTGCTGTTAAGCTACAGCACTTCCCCACACAAGGAAACGACAACGGACAGTGCAGGTTAAAGATTCCCCTCACCCCCATCCAGTGCAAATCAACCCCTGAGGATGCTTTTTACAACAGGGAAGGATCCAGCCCTTTGTTACGTGGCTGTGCTATTTGCCCCTGCTTGCTACCCTTCCCAGGCCTTCTTGATAGGTTTTAACATAGTCTTACATAGGTGCAGAGCTATCTAAAGTGGATTAAGGGTATATTTGCAGCAGATTTATACACTCAGCCCAAGATCCGTATCTACTTTCTGCCTGTCCTCTGCGCATTGCCTGACCTCTCCATTCCCCCATGTATTTGCTAATGTTTCCAGCACAAAATTGTTTTCATGTGTGAAATGTTTTATGCGTCCACAGAGCCTGAAGCCATTCCAAAGATTACATAATAAAGATCATGGGAATTTGGGGTAAACTGGATACAGAAAGAAATAGCCTCCCAACTGTTCTGTGAGCAAAGCTACTTATTAGAGCTGATTTCTTTAGACATTCTTAACATTTCTTAGGAAATCTCTCTCCCCTCTTCGTTCCACCCCCCACAGCTTTGTTTCTGTTTCTACCTCATAACAGAAAACCATGCCATATTGATATCCCAGAGTTATATGCTAAGTAAAGGAGTACTCTCCACGTTTGGTTAAATAATTACATATTTTGGCTCTGGTGCACAAATATACATAGCAAGTGCACAGCATTTAAAGATCTATGCATGTATAGCCACCAAACACACATCTGGTGTGGTAATAAGCTTTGGTGGCATCAGTCATCTATTCAAACATGAGGTGAGCCATCTTTTAGAATCTGAGATCAGGATCCTCATCCATCAGTGGACATCTGGTCAGACCTTCCAGATGTTTGGGTAGAGGTCTTCCCCCAAGCAGACCATCCTTGTGAGACCACATCCACAACATACCTTTAAAGCACATTCAGGCTTCCCCGAAAGAATCCTGGGAACTGTCATTCTAAGCACCGTTAACCAATAAACAAATTCTTGAAATGCTTATTGGATGTGCTTTCAGTGTCTGGTGTGGAGGTGATCTAGGTGGAAGAACCACTTTGGCAAATCAAGTGACTTAGGAGGACCTAACCTACACCTTCCAACATTTCTCTAATGAAAATAGGGACACCCTATTCAATAATAATAATAATAATTCTTGCTGTTGTTGTTACTGCTTCTGCTAACAACTGCTATTATTATTGCGTGCCAAGGCCCCGGGCCCTGCAGTTCCCTTATATAATCAACACACTGACACGAATGTTTTAGGTTAATGGGACAAAATAGGCCACAACTTTATTGGTTACAGATGTGAGTGTTTGGCTTAGGCACTGGGTGAAACCAGACTACATCCCGACTCCTGCCTGTCTGCAGGGAGTCTCACCAAGGGTAAACCACCAGTAAGGAGAGCCCTATGACATACATCAAATTGGGGCACCCCCAGGGTCCCCGATGGAGTCATGGCATGGCCCTAGCCCACGTCCAGGCTTCGGACAGGATCCATACCCCCAGATCGCTTTAGGAGGATGCCCCCTGGCTGCGCCAGTTTAAACCACCTGCAGTCACACCCGAGACTGTGTTGATTGGGCGGCCAGGGGTGTGACGTGGCCGGGAGTACCCATGAGGTGGGCAGCATCCCTCCACCCTCCAGCCAGGTCACTGGGAGGTCCCAGGTGCTGAGCTGCAACACCGCCCAACAAGGAAGGTGAGCAGTATTATTAATATTATTATTATTATTATTATTATTATTATTATTATTACCACCCCACCCATCTGACTGGGTTGCCCCAGCCACACCGGGCAGTTTCCAACATATATAAAAACATATAAATACGTTAAAATTTTTTTTGGGGGGGGGGACACTTTCCTAAACAGAACTGCCTTCACATGGCTCTGGGGTCGGATAACTCCATGCCCTCCAACATTTCTCTGAGGAAAATAGGGACGTCCTAAGGGAAAGCGGGACATTCCGGGATCAAATCAGAAACCATGACAGCTTTTGTGAATCCATGACTGTCCCTGGAAAATAGGGACAATTTGAGGGTCTGCTAACTGCATGTGTCCATTTTTGCCTAAATGTGCTTGCCAGCTTAAAGGGTGAGGATATATTTTGATCACTAAATGGAGAATGTAGGAGATGGGAGCAAACCCCAGCTCCTCCCTCACCTTATTTGGGAGAAAAGGCTGGGGAGAGAGGAGGGTTTCATTCCCATCCCCAACACAGGCCATATCACTGGGGGGAAATGCCCTCCCCCTCCATAGCCAAACCAGTAAGCATGTGTTAAATAAACACACCCATGCCTGGTTTGGCCCAGATCTTCAAAATAAACCCAAACTCCTGGCAAGACATTGAATGAACTGGCTTTAGAATAAGTTAACAATCTCTGATGCTCTCCAGGATTAATAATAATTTGCTTCTTTTAGGAGCTGTATCTTGCATTTTGCTTGTAAAACTACCGCTCTGCTCGCTTACTGTGACTTACAGCCAAGTAATTTATCTGCTGCTCAGATTCCTAGGACAAAATTCTATTCTAACTTCCATACATTTCCCCTCTGACCTTTGGCAGAGTTGGTTACACTTGGTTTAGGCTGCGAAAGTGAGAGTAGAATGTGTCCTTTGTTTTGTCTAAATTGCCCCAGAGACCTTCAGTGTTAAAGAACACGTGGCACGGACTGACTACAGGGGCTTCATCTGAAATATGCAACAGCCCATTGGTATTCAGGCGGTGTTTGTCTGGCAGGGGAGCTGAATTCAGCGTCAGACCAAGGCCTTGTGCATTTCCCTCTATATGTCCAAATAAGGTCAAGCAATTGCTGTCAACTGTACGCAATACTGTGCAGAATTTGAAGATATTTTGGTGTTTCTCTGGATGTGCCTTAGGAGTGACGAGTCAATAATTAATATACTGTATTAGTAGGCAGCTTAGATACTACTGTTCACTACCATCTCAATAAGATAGGTGGGATAAATCTGCAGCTGCACTTTCATATTGCAACATCATCATCACCACCATTATTATTATTATTATTATTTATTACTTATACCCCACCCATCTGGCTGGGTCTCCCCAGCCACTCTGGGCAGCTTCCAACAGGAGATTAAAAATACATTAAAACATATATACCACTTTTTATCAGAATATCCCAGAGTGGTGTACAGCATTAAACATCAATGATAAAGCATGATAAAAACATAGTGAAAGGCAGCCTAATAGTAAAATAATCATCATAATAACAGTCCGCTTCCCGACACTTTCACAAGCCATAGGTTATTTAATAGCCTGGGTAAAGAGGAATATTTTTGCCTAGTGCTTAAAGCCATGTAGTGATAGCGCCAGGCGAAAGCTCTCTAGGGAGAGCATTCCACAATCAGGGAGCCACCACAGAAAAGGCCCGTTCTCTTGTTGCCACCCTCCAAACTTCTCTGGGATGGGGGACATAGAGAAGGTACTCAGATGACAAATGCATGGTTCAGGTTGGTTCATACAGGGAGAGACAATCCATAAGGTATTGAGGTCCTGAGCCGTGTAACGCAGTATTTCATCAGAAGCAACAGGAAAGATACAGAATAGATGTGGGTTGTGGCTAATGTTGT